AAAAAAAAAAAAAAAAGAAAAGAAATAAACACCCTATCTCACTTAATGCTAATAACAATTCTACTAATAAAGTAGTTTCATTATCTCCTTGTACAGGGGGAAGGAAATAGAGCCTCAGGTTAACTTACCCAAGATCATATAAGTAGAAGAGAGTTTGAATCCGAATTCATATCTGACCCTTGAATTTATCTAATAACAAGCAAACTACATTCCTTTCCTTCTGAGAACTTCTCTGACATGGCAACTAGAAAGGAAATGTGAGTGTAAAGGCCCTGAGGGGATAATATGTCTGACATGTTTAAAAGACAGCAAGGAAGCCAGTATGACTACAGGAGAGTAAATAAGAAAAGTAATGGGAAATGAAGTTGGTAAGCCTAAGCCAAAGTATACATGCTTTTGCAGAGGATTATGACAATAAGAAGACACAAGATGAGAAGCCACTAGAAAATACTGAGGAAATCCAACTTATGCTTTAAAATAATCTCTCTGGCTGCTGAGTTAAGGACAGTAAATAGGTAAGGGAAGAAGCAAAGAGAATGTTTAGAATGTTTTAGAAGGTGAAATGAGAAATGGTCAGGTTTTGGATAATACAGTTGGCCCTCTGTATCCATGGGCTCCACATCCATAGATAGAATCAACCGTGGATTGAAAATATTCAGAAAAGAAAAAAAAAAGATGGTTGCATCTGAAGTGAACATGTACAAACTATTTTCTTGTCATTATTCTCTAAATAATACCTATTTATATAAGATTAAAATTATATTGGGTATTACTTGAGCCTCTGAGGATTTTGATATCCTAAGTAGTCCTGGAACCAATCCCCCATGTATACTAGGAACAACTATATATGTAGAGCCTATAGGATTTCTTTTCTTTCTTTTGTTTTTTTTTGAGACAGAGTCTCATTTTGTCACCTACCATAAGTGCCATGGCGTCATAGCTCATAGCAACCTCCAACTCTTGGGGTCAAGTAATTCCCTTGCTTCAGCCTCTCAAGTAGCTGGGACTATAGGCGCCTGCAACAATGCCCAGCTACTTTTTTAGAGACAGGGGTCTTAATCTTGCTCAGGCTGGTCTTGAACCTGTAAACTCAGGGCAATCTACCCGCGTTGGCCTCCCAGAGTACTAGGATTATAGGCGTAAGGCACCGCGCCTGGCCAGGATTTCCTGATAGCCTAAATACAGGGTGAGAGAAAGGAATCAAAAATGATTCCAAGGTTTTTGAGTAACTGAATAAATCTGTAAAGCCATACTGCGTCAAAAATCCATGTGTCAGACCTAGAAAGGCTCTTTGACACCAAGTAGTCCAATATCTTCATTGTACTAATGTGAGTAGAGAAGTGAATTGATTTGATCAAAACTGTAGGTGGCATTTAAGAACCCAGGTTTCCTGAATTTCAGTCCAGTTCTTATTCCATTATAAGGCATTGCTCTTTTTCCACTCCTCAAATTAAACAATTCCAACCCTGACTCCTCACTACATTGCTCCTGCAGCCAAATTCTTCCCTTTTCCTCCTCCTTTTAATCACCCATTTACCGCATGGTGAGGTCTGAAGGATGCTGCCATTTTGGGTTCTGCATATGATGAACTTCCATCAAGGTATATAGCTCCTTCCAGGGACCTGTGATACAGAATGATTAGTGGTTAGAAGCAGCTGAGTGAACTACCATGTCAGCCAAGATCAAAGTGTATGCTTTCAGGGAAAGAGAAAATAGGCACTGGTCTCAATACTATCTTACTTATAATTATCATTAAGCAAACAGCATAATAACTATAAAACCACAAAAGGGGGAGCTTGCTCTTCCATGATGGTGGTGAGGCAATAATGGCAGCCACTATTCATTCAATTCATTCAATTTACTAGCTTCTACAATGTGTGAGGAATTTTACTTGTCCCTAGGAATATGGCAGTGAACAAGACATTGTACCTCGATGTAGTTTATACAGGAGACTGATGATTCCAAAATGGTGTAATAAATGTAGTGATTTTAACAGTGACTAGTGGGTGATAGGGAAAGCACTCTGTCGGGGAAGTAAAGAAACCTAAAGGATGTATAAAAGTTAGTGAGGTTCTGAAGGGAGGGAGAGGAGGTAGAAGTCTAAGAGAAATAGTTAATACAAAGGCCCAGAAACAGAAGACAGCAAATACATTCAAGAAACGAAAGGAGTTTCTAATAGAGGTGGATATTTTTGGATAACAAGAAAAACTGCTACAGGCAATTTCCCAAACAACTGGGAGCCTGGCAGTGTACTAGGCACTTTATATATTATCTTAATCCTAAAAAAAAATCCTATATAAAGGTAGATATTGTTAATATCATTTCAGAGATGGGAAATTGTTCCTCATGGAGTTGAACTTGCCTTAAATGCTTAACAACCCAGGTTTCAACTAGCTCTTATGTGACACCAAGCTCTTGCTGCTATGTAGTAATGTTACCTTTGCACTTAAGGGCTGAGACTTAGGCTGAAACCCAACAGAAACAATAATAAAACACTTGTTAGGATATAATTTCCCTAGAACAGTGGTACTCAATTTTTAACATGCACCATAATCAGCTGTATTATAAAACAGATTGCTGGACCCAGACCCTAGGGTTTCTGATTATGTTGGGCTGGGTAAGGCCTCAGAATCTGCATTTCTAACAAATTCCTAAGCAATGCTAATATCACTGGGTCTGAAACCACATTTAAAAACCACTGTCCTTGACAATGCAGATCTTTTGTTCTGCTAGTTTACATTTATCATTACCCACTATGCTTTCAGACTCAATAGACTGAGGCTATTGACCATTTTTTCAAGTTCTAGTAAAGATAACACAACTTTCAGGACCAATTTAACTTATCTGAAGCATCATGAAGCAGAGCTTTGTAGGAAAGTATACTATATATTTTAGAATTAAAATTCCTATCCAGCAACTAGCACTGTGACCCTGAGCAAATGATTTCACTTGGGCAGCGCCTGTGGCTCAGTGAGTAGGGTGCCAGTCCCATATACCAAGGGTAGTGGATTCAAACCAGGCCCCAGCCAAACTGCAACAAAAAATAGCCGAGTGTTGTGGTGGAGGCCTGTAGTCCCAGCTACTCGGGAGGCTGAGGCAAGACAATCACCTAAGCCCAAGAGCTAGAGGTTGCTATGAGCTGTGATGCCACAGCATTCTACTGAGGGTGACAAAATGAGACTTTGTCTCTAAAAAAAAAAAAAAAAAAAAAAAAGATTTCACTTCTTCAAGCCTCACTACTCATCTGTGAAAAGTGGGACAATATACTATTTAGCTTAAAGTTGGATATTAGAAATATTGTAGACAAAAGACCTAGCATATTGCTTGGCACACAGCAAGTATGCAGTGAGTGGTAGTGATCATTTTGATGTTTAGCCCTTACACTCATGTTTGTTCACAAAGACTGTAAATCCCATGACAATCACCTTTTATTTTTTTAAGGAAAAAAGTCTATAAACTATCACATGTTTTACAGCACTCAAAAATTTTGTTTCTAACCATGAGATAATACTTTTCAGGAAAATTTATAGATTCGTTATAGTAAAGTTTATATATGCTTAAAAGAGCATGACCAAGGTTAAGAGATAATTGATAAAATGAAAAATATATTTGAAACATTTGATAAAAGTTTTATGTCCTCTTTCTACAAAGCTTAAGTCACTTTATTAAAAAAAAAAAAAAAAGCACTGAGGATGTGAATAGATAATTCACAAAAGTAATACAAGTGACCAGTAAACATTTGAAAAGAATGCTCAGTATCACTTATCTGGGAAAAAACATATTACTCTTACTACTTGAGAAGGAAATATAAATGACTTTCCACTTTAAAGAAACTAACTCTTGGCTCAGCGCCTGTGGCTCAAGTGGCTAAAGCGCCAGCCACATACACCTAAGGTGGCAGGTTCAAATCCAGCCCGGGCCCGCCAAACGACAACAGCTGCAACCAAAAAACAGCCAGGCGTTATGGTGGGTGCCTGTGGTCCCAGTTACTTAGGAGGCGGAGGCAGGAGACTCGCTTGAGCCCAGGAGTTGGAAGGCTGCTGTGAGCTGTGATGCCATGGCACTCTACCCAGGGCGACAGCTTGAGGCTCTGTCTCAGAAAAAAAAAAAAAAACAAAAAACTAACTCTTGCTTAATTCTTTGCCTGCTGGATTTGTTAAGCTAAAATCAAAGGTCTTAATTAAAATTGCTTTTCCTGGGTGGCACCTGTGGTTCAAAGGCGTAAGGCACTGGCCCCATATGCTGGAGGTAGCATGTTCAAACCCAGCCCCAGCCAAAAACAGCAAAAAAATAAAAAAATAAAAAAATAAAAATTGCTTTTCCAATACCCTATTTTAATATTACTAGCACTCCATTACTAGCACTTCCTTTAAGTCCCCCTAAAAGGACATTTCAGTAGGGGGTGGGGTAGAGAAGAATCAGCTTTGTAAAAACTTCAAGATAC